TCTAGAATAAAGTATGATGGGAGAGAAGGGGGTCCTGTATTTGCTATTTACAACAGAGGATATGGGCAAGACAGTGATTTTACTTTCATTCCTTACAGATTTTAGCTCAAATACATAAAGTGAGTAAATATTACGTGGCCAGTAAAAAGAACTGTGAACTTGACTAGTATGTGGAAATAAACACACACAAATATGTCTGTACTTGCCTTCGAAGAGAATAAATCATAATAAAAATAGTTGAAGACATCAACGGAGATTTTTCCATTTTCTGTGTAGTGGTTAGTGAAGAAAAATATTTTTTTAAGCCAAAATTACAGAATTCTATAAAATAAAGGAAGTATCCTAAAAGCTCTCAACAAGGGACACGAAAATCTCTTCAGATTTTCATGTTGACTCAGTTACTTGGAAGGCTCAAAATAAAAAGGGCTGGGGGGAGCCAGGGATTTAGCTCACTGGTTCCTTTACTTGTCTCAAAAATACAAGGTCCCAAGTTCAATCACCGGTACTAGAGGATAAAAAAAACAAAATAGAGGGCTGGGGTGCAGCCAGGGCTGGAGTGCTTGCCTATTATATACAAGGCCCTGGGTACAACCCCAAAACTGCAAAAAAACAAATTCATGTTGATGCTTTTTTCTACAAAGAATGAAACAATAGCTGGATCCTCATTTGAAAATACAATAAAGTAGTTAGCAGGGAAAAGTACTTTTATGTGCGGGTGGACACAATGCACTTTTCTACACCAAGTGTTACCTAGGAACACAGAATGTTTAACCAAAAAACAGGCCAGTGCTGGCTCTAAGCTATGGCTGGCTATTTGTAACCTCTGGCTGCAAGAATTCACCCCTGAAAGGGCAAATCTCACTTGTTCTGGCTGCTTCATCTGGATTCTTTGTTGGCACAAAAGTTGGACATTTTTGAAATGGTAGTGATCTCAGTATTTTGTTACACAGTGCTCCAGTGGGAGAAAACATTTGCTTCTACTTCTACAGCCTTATGAAATACAGAACTATTCTCACTGCTTTGTCAGCATTTCCAGATTCTAAGTAAATGTCTTTTTTTTTTTTTTTTTTTTTTTTTTTTT